TCAGGCTTCAAAGCAATACAACGCAGGATGAGGACGTTATTGTATTGAAGTATTTATAAAGTACTAGAAACTGCGTCTTACTGCAGTCACTGTGCTCTCTTAAAGCTCAGCAGTGAGTTTAAATGTCAAGTCGGAGACAGACAGTGTGGGATTAAACAACGCCACTGCACAGACATCATGTCATTCACACATTAGTTTGAACTAGTTTGAACTTTAGTGCTCCATTGAGATACTGTTATTTTGTGTTGGCATTTAAGTCCGTCTAGAAAAGAAATGAAGGGAAACGCTAACATTCCCTTTATTATCAACAAATGAATGATAAATGAATAAAAGTATATAGTATCTGATTGATTCAACACATACCTGCCTGCAATAAAATAGCAAAGCATGATGTATGCATTGACTGATTTGTATCGCATTGTATTTGTTTGCTATTCTCTAACACTGAACTCTCAAACCCTGATCTACATTTCTGGGTTTTTTAACAATTATATGACTTTTTATAGACCCTCCACTAATCTATTAATCAAGAAAATAATGAATGAATTGATAATACAAATACACTTTGTTACAGACCTACTAGTTTATCCAGTTTAATGTCACTACTGACTGTTTTAAATGTGTAAACCAAAGCATTTGGCCCACTTTAGAGTCAACCCCTTGAGCAATCCTTTTAGTTTGAAAGGGATTTCCTGGTTTGACTAAGACGTGAATGAATAAGAACTAAAGAGTCCCACGGGGGAAACAGTAATGTTTGCATGATACTCTTTCACAGGCTCAGTCAGTTTGCGTTGTTTCAGGTGTTTTTCCCCCCTCCCAAGTATCTATAGTTAGGATGTGAGAATGAAACCATCTGTGGCTCCAACAACCAGCAAGCGGAAATGAAAAGAGGTCAAAGACACAACAACAGTTCTACTACGCTGGGACTACATCAATCACTGGATTACACTACAGGCTGCAGGAGTCATTAACAGCTCTGCTTCACCTCAAAACAGACTGATGACATGGCAACAAAAGAAGAGTGGGTCACACAAGAAACTACTGATAACACTGTGTGGAGGGGGTTGAGGTATTTGGATTGTGTGCAAAAAAAAAAGCAGCAGTTTCATTGACTCAAACTGAAAGAATAAACAGCCATTGTGACGACAAGTAACACACTGACATTTACAGATGTCTGCTGTGGTAGAAGAAGAAAGAAAGCAGCTGGTGAATTGTGGGATACATCAATAAAAACATGCACACACTGTCCTATCCTGATCAACAAGTTTTCTGGATCGAATCCGTCCTAAGTGCTGCCTCAAAGCATGTGCTTTGTCTGAGCTGCATGGGGAAGTCCAGGCCTATCTGTTTCACTTCTGTTTTCTCACTGAGCAACGCCTCACAGTAGTGCATCCACATTCATGACACGGACACAGTTCATTTAAAAAGAGTCTCACACTGTTTGAAATCCCCTGCAAAACCAGTATCACATGAAGAGCTGTGGCTAACATGCTGTGTGATTTACAGTCTCCACTAACTTCTATATATGGATGTTTCCACCATCTGATCAAATTGAGTGAGATATAAAAGACATTTGTTGCTTGCACTCCCAGAGCTGAAACAACAGAACAATAACCAGCAACTACTTTTATATTGAAGTTTTCAAGCAAAAAAGGCCCAATCTTCTCTAGTTTCATCTTATCAAATGTGATCTGTTGCTTTTCTCAGTTATATATCTTTGAAAACTGCATAACTTTGGGGCGCACACCTGGACTTTGGGAATTTTATTACGGGCATTTTTCCTTAATTCTGACATTTCGAGAAAAAGAAAACTGATCATGGTAGACAATAATAGTTATAGGTTGCAGCCCTAATAACCAGAGCTACTGTTGTCAAAAAAGAACAATGCACAGTGCTAAATATACAACTTTGCGATGTTCAGAGAAAAAGGGGTGGACATTTTCAAAATACATACATTCTGGGGTAAACATTTTTTAAAACTGCATTTCTCTTCCAACCTTGTTCTTTATAGGATACTGCAGACTACTTCATAATAGACTTGTTGAAATGGTTCAAACTTAAACGAGAAATAAAATTGCAAGGCACCATGTTTAGTATGTATCGTTGGGCCTTTCAGCAAAGACCCAGGAAAGCTCAGAAAATATTAAATAAATACATAAATAACTGAGAGAATAAACATACGTGTCTCCATCTTCAGTGATAGTTGTGAGCAAGTTCTCCTCCTGTTCAGAGAGTTCAGAGCTCGGTGCTTGCTCCTCCAGCGTGTAGCCCTCTACTATATCCGTCAGACTCTCCACCGTGATGGACGAGGACTCATAAGCCGAGTCGAGGCGCTCCTCCACGACGAAAAGCTTGTCCCTCGGCCCGCTGAAGTCGACGCTCGGCTCCCGGGGCTCCTCAGACTTCAGTATGGAGCGGTAGGAGTCGATGCCCGAGTCTGTGCGGTTATCCTCCAGCGACTCATCTTTCCTGCAGTCGTCGCTCGCCATGGTGGTGTTTCTCTGGGTTTCCCCCTCCCTCCTTCCCCGAGGATTTAGAGGCTACTTGCGGGCTTTCGGTGCTCTGTGACCGGACTCCGAGGAAACCACGGCTCCTTTGTGAAACCAGAGGAAGGAGCCACTAACCGATAATACATTACCCCCCAGCGACAGGCCCTCTTCACCTTTGATCAATTGTAGACTGTTTACAAGTTTACTAAAGTCATGTCAGATTTTCGTGGGTTAAAAACAAGTAAGAAGAGGCGAAACGGCCACCCGTCGTCTAGATATCCGGTAACAGCATGAGCTCCGGGCGCAGAGCATATGAGCAATGAAAGGCGATAAGCTGACATGTGAAAGGCGAAGCTGTTTTTGTCACGCGGGGGAATCCCCAGTGCGCGCGAACGTAAACACACACTATAAACGCGCGCGCACACATTCACTTCAACTGGAACAGCGTCAAGGTTCAACAGAGTAAAAGCGGAAGAAGTGCGATTTTCAAAATAAAACTGTTATAGATATTTGTAATTAAAGGTCCATGTCATGGCCATTTCTACTGATCATAATTCCATTGTTGAGGTATACTAAAATAAATGTACATTGTGCAATACCTGGTGAATACACATACAATACAAAGATGCTGTATGAGAATCCAATGTGATTTTGGAAAATTACACACTTTAAATCTATTCTAGTATAGACCTCAACAATGGAAATATGATCAGTAGAAATGGCCATGACATGGGACCTTTAAGATTAAACACATTTATTTCATTTGGGAACACACACATATATGGAGTTGGCCAGATGTGTGTAAATTACTGTTCATGGTCATTTGAAAAGAATTGTCGGACAAACACACAAACAGAGCGGAACTGAGCAAAGCACAAACACAGACGTCAGCATGTGCCTTGTGGACCGGACATCTCCTTCATAAAACGAGGAATAGGGGGAATAATCGGGCAGTTCGATGTGTGTAGACTCAGAGGTGTGTGTGTGTGCGTGTAGAGGTGTGTGTGGCTATAACTAAGCAGCCTGCAGTCGCTCTTTAGCTGTTCTAATTAAGGTAAACACAGCGAAGGCTGTGTGTAAAAGGCACAGCTCCACTTCTGGCGAACCTGTAACTTTCTTGTGTACACGAGAACGTATCTCTTGCGCAAGAGAAAGTATATCGTGATGAGCAAAACCATGTCACTTGGCCCAGGTGGTTTCCACAGAACGGACAAAACATGTTTAACGACATTAAACACACTCGTACCGTCCATAGGTTTGATTCTCTAGTTTGTTAAAGTGTTTCGGCAAATGTTAAAGTGTTTATCTTTAGCTTTGTAAAAGTGTTTCACATCTTGTTAATTTGTTTTTGTTAATGTTAAATAGTTTTTTCTTTGGTAAAAGTGTTTTGCTCATGTAATTTTGTTTTAGAAAATGTAAATTTGTCTCAAGCTTTGTTAAAGTGTTTCACACTTTGTAATTGTCGATGGCACCTCTCAGCCACCGTACAAAGGGTACACCTTAAGTTATTGAATAAAAGATTATATAAATAAATAAAAAGATTGAGAGTGTAGACTTGTGACCTCGGTCTTTATAAAATCCAGGTTTTGGCCCTGCTCAAATTGTGTAATGACAAACTGTGTCAATTTGACATTACAGAACTTCCCAAGGAATGCAATAATGTTTTGCATAGTTTTGCTGGAGCTACAGTGTATTGCCTTTGATACATTGATACAATAACCAAGGTGAGACCCATGTGTGCAATGTTTGGCAGAGGTTGTATACATGATAAAATAACACATGTGAGCAGAGTTTAAGTTTGCAGTTTTTGACCTCCAAAAAGTTCAGGAATAACACAGCTGTAATTTTTTGTTTCCTCTTCCATCTTGAAATGCTTGTTGTGGTTTGGCCTTTAGAGGGCTCACTTACATGGCTACTGCTCAGGGCCAGATTCATAGTCTATAAAACAATACTGACTGGCAGAGAGAAACGTCTACTGCCAAGAGCTGCCATCTGTTTCCATAATATCTATAATGTTGAGTTTACTTATTACATTTTATGCCAGCAGTCCAGTCCAATGTCCATCCTGTGGGCTATTGTAAACAAGGGTATGTGTGCCAGGATTGTCTGGTAATGGTTTGAATAAATAGTGCTGTGGAGACAGAAATGGCAAGAGTTGAGAAGTCAAACAAGCTAATTAATCAGTGATGTGTGATTAAACAGCAGAACTAACTTTTTTTGAATTTTGTTTATGTATGTATTTTGTTTATGTACGTATTCTAACTATAAAAATGCACAAAATTGTAATATCCTATCAACATTATGTTGTTATGGTATATGTGTAATACTATGTTTGATTATGATATAAAATGCCGAGCTTTAGCCTAATTAGCGGTTTTTCCAGCAATAACCGTACTGTGATCATAAAGTCAGCAAGCCCACTTTTTTTTTTAAAGGGGATAATATTATGATAAGTGGTCCTCACAGATAAGGTGATGCAGCTGATGAGATGCAGGGGGTGGGTTTCTTTTTGCAACACCGCCTCTGTTTTGTGATTCTGTTGAACAGGGATGTGTGTGTATGTGTATTTGTGTGCGTGTGTGTGTGTTATTTACATTGTGGTGTCGGGGTGTCTGCTCACACGTGCCTGTCGTCTTTGTCCTGCTCCACAGCTCTACTGGCTGCCATGGGCACTGCTGCCTTCAGGGACAGGAGCTCACTGCCGCCTTCACCATTTCCAAACATCGCATCCTTTGCAGCAATCTTCACCAGCATCTAGTCGGTGCACCGCGGGGGAGTACCAGGCTATTCTGCGCTTCATGCGAGGCACAATGCAAGGATTCCCGTAGGCGATTCACCCAGCGAAGTCTGCCCACCTGGAGGACCAAGGAAGGATGCGTGTTTTCAGCGGTTGGGCTCCGGCCGGACGGGTCTGTTTTGGATGATGCGCAGAGGGGTTTTCTGCGTATTTATGTTTCACCCCGATTTGGAAAACCCCCATTCCATCTGGAGACCCATGACCCGGTTTGGGTACCGTTATCACCATGTCCCCAGCATCGGCTGCCACGGCCAGTGAGAGCAGCACCACCACCCTCCCAGAAGAGCAGCCGGACAGCCCCCGAGAGGAGGTGAGGAAACATTGTTTGTCTGCGATGTGAAGGCCAATTTTCTTGCCCAAAGCATGCACTTTAGGGGCAAATTCATCTTTTAATTAGGGTGATATATTCATTGGGAATCCCAATAATTTCATGAAAATCAGCTTTTTTACATTAGGGTTTAATTGGGGCCAGTTTACATCAAGCACTTGGAATAAGTTGTATTAATACAGCTGTTTATAATATGCAGTCATAAGTGAATCTGTGCGTCCGAGCGCGCACCCGAGAATGTGAACGTGCATGGACCTACTCCTGTTTGTCCCATCTACAGATACGTTTCCAAAATGAGGTTTGGGGACCTCTTGTGTGTCCTACAAATGGTCTAAAAAGGCCCTGGAAGTAGTATACAATCCCAGTAATTGTTCAAATGATAACATATAATAATGGCTTTTTTCTTTAAAAATGTCACAACAGTTTTTCCCATAAATAAACTCCCAACAGGGACTAAATCAATGTGGGTTAGTTACTTTAAAGGCAAAGACTTAAACTCTCTGTGCCAACAGGCGTGACATGTTAAATTAACCAAACCTATTCTGTTGCGTACCTTGTGTTGACACCATTATAACAGGCTGGTTCAAATGTTTCCTGCATGGGGACATGTTGATTAAATAGGGATCTTTTCTGTGTGTAAGAAATGAAATATTTCTTCCTCTTTCACTGTGTTTACTTCCCCTTCAAACACACATGTTGGATAGGTTACATATCCATTACACAAGAGTTTTTTTTATATAACTCCCGCTGGTCTTATTATGTCAAGGGAGAGTGTTCATGAGTGAGAGAGGCACTTAGTTAAGGCCGGGCGCCAACCACTGTGGATGAGTCTCATGAACTGTGAAGCTTCTCCGTTCTTAATTAAAAAAAAGGAAATCTAAAATATTGATTACATTTCATAACCAGCTTTTTTATGGATTTAATTCTTCCTGTGTAAACAACAACTTTTCATTTTACTCTAAGGCTCTTTAATTGAGGAAACGTAACGCATCTATATAATGTAATGGTCTAGTAAAAGCCAAAATATTTACTGGGAATTCCAAAGGTGCTGTTGTTTCCTGTACCTTGGTAAAAACTTGTTTGCATTTTTGTGTGAAGGGACATTCAATCAAATATGGCACAATTGCAAACAGATGCCAGATATAAAAAATAGCCTCCTGCCAGCTAAGGAGGCTTTTCCTATAACTTTAAAACATAATGTAAGAGCCGGGATTAGTAAGAATCTGGCAACACAAAATGAATCATGATACAAGGAGTAACGATTCAATACATTGCGATAAGGTGCAATGCTGATGCAGTTTTTTTAAATCTGCTTAAAAATCTGCTCATTTTTTAAAACCTTACAGTTCAACTTCATGATTTGTTATCTTTAAACAATCCACATTGGAGATAAAATGCTGGGTTTCCCCTCTCTCATTTGCTTTTGTGTCCCTGCGTGACAGACGTGTCAGGTAATTCCCGCCCTGTATGCTTATTAATAGCTTGGTCATGCTTTTCAACCGGGCCACAGGAATGTCTCTGTCTAAAACATCAGAAATGTGTTCAAGTCACTTCCTCGCTTGAATCCCATTATAATATCCATAATCAACAGATCTTTGATATGATCTCAATCAGGGAGTTTTAATTGAAGTTATTTTTAGTTCAGTTGGTCCTCATTTAAGCAATTCATCGTCGCTGATATCATTCTAGGCTCAAGGGTGAAACTAGCTTGTAATTGAATTATGTGCTCTTCACTTTAATGAACCTGAAAATGTCTATATTACTGCTGTTTCTCAATTATATTAGTTTAATTTAGAAGCACTTTTTAAATCAAATACTACCACAGTATATTTGGTTTCTTTCAAATGTGTCCATTCACACGACTATTCATTATTGGTTAAACAGAGGCTGTAAAGTGTAACATAAAGTATGTCATGTTATATATTGATTCTAGTTAGTGAGCGTGTGCAGGATGTTATTGAGCTAATATCCCTTCTGCGGTAGGTTCATCTCAAAAGGGGAATCCATGTTAATCCCTTTTACCCTTTGGGGTGTAGCCTTGGGTTGCTAAGGGACTCAGGGACCATGCGGCCAAGGTGGGGAAGATAATTATGGAGAAGAAACATCTATTATTTATGTTCGCCTGTCACTCGAAGAGCACACAGTTGACATAATGAATTCAATACATCAATGCAGTGGTGCTGGTTGTTGTGGTCACACGTATGCCCGGGATGACCTATGTGAGAGCTGGAGGAATAACCTTTTCTCTTTTTTTAACTGAGTAACTGCTGCTACAGTGCAAGTGTTAGATTCAGGAGGATGTGCCCAACTGTACTGTCTGTTATGCAAATAATTTCTTTTGTTATAATTCATCCTTCCTGGAGCTTTTGAATCTCTGCCAGGTCTGTGTAGCGTGTCGCTGTGCCCCACGGTGATAAAAGATGGCACCAGCTTTGTGCTGCCAGAGTCAAACGCCTGCTTCCTCTCTGGCTGGCTTGACATTAAGTGAGGGGTCCACCCCTCCAATGTATTTCTGCTCTTTTAGTTATTTTCTATCCTCAATACCACATTTAAATAAACCCATGCATCATGGTCAGGCAGAAGCTCCCGGTGTTCCGTACTGAAATTAACATATATACTTTATTTTGTCCTTTTGCATTAATCAGACTTTTTCCTTGAATTTGATTTAAAAAAAAAGTGGGTGAGTCTTCTGAATATAACAAGCACAGACCAAGGCATGAGCAAATGGCTGCCGGCTCATGCATAAACTATGCAAAAACACTTACAACGCAGAGTATTTCCTTAAATATTTTATATGCATGAGCCACTACATTTTAACCACTACTAACTTTATAACTGACTTGAATTTAGATCATACTAGGTCACACTTGTTAATGAACTTAATTCCAATTTTATATTAAAGTGTGTTATTACAAGTACTCGGGACAATAGGAACATTTCACAGGACATATTCACAAGAATTGACAGATAGTACAAACTGAATTTACCAAATGCATAAATTCTCTACCATGATGTGACAATATTCACTTATATCCTTATAATGGAAATTCACTATGATTGTTATTTATAGTGTTTTTTATTGCGACCTGTGGTACAATAGGTCATCGTCTCATGCTCAATTACTAACAGATGTTCCAATTTACTTTCAGGGAAGAATATAAACCGAACATATTTTCAATATTGTAAAATTGCTGTTTTCTTATCCTCTCTGTAGCAGCGGCCCCAGAAGCAGTCCCTGAGTAAATCCCTGTGTCAGGAGACTCACTGGAAATGCCTGCTGCTGTCCCTGCTGATGTACGGCTGCGTGGGGGTGATGGCCTGGTGCCAGGTGACCAAGGTCACACGCCTCTCCTTCGACAGCGCTTACAAGGGAAAGTCTATGATGTACCACGACAGTCCCTGCTCCAACGGCTACATCTACATCCCTTTGGCCTTCCTGGTCATGCTCTATGTGGTCTACCTGGTGGAGTGTTGGCACTGCTACACCAGGAACGACCTGCAGTACAAGGTGGATGTGGAAAGCGTGGCGGAGCGTATCCAGCGAATGCAGCAGGCTACGCCCTGCATCTGGTGGAAGGCCATCAGCTACCATTACATCAGGAGGACGCGGCAGGTGACGCGCTACCGTAACGGAGATGCCTACACCACCACCCAGGTCTACCACGAGCGAGTCAACACACACGTGGCTGAGGCGGAGTTTGACCACGGGAACTGTGGGGTTAAGGACATCGCGAAGCAGCTGCTGGGCATGGAGGACTTCCCTATCACCCGGCTGAGGTTCACTAAGTGCTTTAGCTTTGCCAATGTGGAGTCGGAGAACTCCTACCTGACGCAGCGGGCCAGTTTCTTCACAGATAACGAGGGCCAGGACGACTACATGGAGGCCCGTGAGGGGATGCACCTGAAGAATGTAGACTTTAAAGAGAACATGGTTGCCTTTTCTGACCCAAATCACCTTCCCTGGTATGCAGCCAACTCCACTTTCTGGGCGGCAGCTGCTTTCACGCTCTCCTGGCCGCTGCGCGTGCTGATAGAGTACCGCACGGCCTGTGTACACTACCATGTAGAGAAGCTGTTTGGCTTTGACTTTGTGCCAGCAACGCCATCTGAGGAGCAGCCACAATGCAGACACATCCCACGAGTCAACACGATCGACAGCACGGAGCTGGAGTGGCACATCCGATCCAACCAGCAGCTGGTGCCCAGCTACTCGGAGGCAGTTCTCATGGATCTGTCTCAGCTCTCGGGAAGCTCTAACAACCACTCTGTGTGTGGAGGTTACGACAGCTACAGGCAGAATTGTGAACGCTGCCACCGTGCCATCAGCAGCTCCTCCATCTTCTCTCGCAGCGCCCTCAGCATCTGCCACACAGGGAGCCCCCGAATCCCCTTCAGCGCCAGCCGCTTCTCTCTGGGTCGGCTGTACGGCTCGAGGCGGAGCTGCCTGTGGAGGAGCAGCGGGAGCCTGAACGAGCGGTCCTGCCCCAGAGAGAGCACTCGCTGCCTCTCAGGCCAGCAGAGCAGTGAGGAGAACCCTCCAGACTACCAGGACGCTCTCTGCTTCCCTGTGCTCATTGTGCATCGCAACGAGGGCTGCCTCAACCACGACCACCGCTCCCTGCACAGAAACGGCTCCTGTGTGGAGACTTCTCTATGACACACAGAGCACTCTGAGAATAGACTGTAGCAACACAGGAACAGAGGGGAAAGGGCTCGGCTAACACTGACTTCTGCTTCCCCCTTCTACAACATTGGTAACTCTACAAGTTACCACAAACAAGGATTTTTTTCTAATTTCTAAAGAAACTATAGCCTCAACAAACAAGAACCAGTACACATGGGAAAGTCCATGTAGCATAGTCTGGATAAAACAGACCTTATGCTGTTTATAAGACTGTTATAGGAAATATGGTTTTAAAGGACCAAAATGTGTCACATAATGTTGTACAGCGTTAACAAGGACAAGAGTCAAAGAACCAAGGAATACCAAGGGGATTCACATCCTACTGTAAATGCCATATTTGTAGATCTTAGTCACAGTCAAGGAATTGATGAGTAACATGAGTAGTATTTGAAGCCTATGGGTATGACTCAGCGGCAGCCTATTCAATTGCCAAGAGATGAAAGGAATAGGAATTATTGGACTTGTGAATGGGGAATAACATAAATATTTTGAAAATCATTGACTCACACTTCTTGTGAGTCAATTTGCTGAACTGTGAGGTAAAATGCAAAGATATCAGCCTTCTTGTCAATGCATAAGTTACACACGACGAGATGTTTTGCTGAAACAAAATACAGGTCTTAAGCCTCAAATTTAGCATAAAAAACATACACATGTTAAACGCTGGTTAAAATCTGTCATTCAAAGTCAATAATCAATTTTCTAAGTAATAGATTTCCACAGCTTAAAAAATGAATGTCGGATGCAGATGCAGAAATATCAAGTTAGCTGAAATTGGCTCGGCTGCGATGACATTATACTTCCTGGCTTCCTAAATATAGCAGCACAGTCGATAAATAATTTAGCACAGGAGGGCTAAAGGACACGAGATCTTCAAACTGAATAAATAACAACTTCTTCAAACTATCAATTACCAAATCATTTAACCTTTTTTTTACTACAAAATAATAAAACTTACCAGAATATGAATAGTTCAGAGTTAACTCAGCAAGTCTAAAAATCTCAAAGATGCATTTAATTTTATATTAGGCAATATTTCTATAGCTACCTCTTTGTTTAAGTGCCTAGCGATGAACTGCTACTGTAGAGCATAAGCTATCATAACTAAATTAATCTCATTTTAACATCACATCAAAACAAGTTGAATTCCTACCTGTAATAGCTCATTGGAGAAATGTGATATAAGTAATTTTCAACACACACAAGGTTAAAAAAATCTAAATGTTTTCAAATGATTCCCCTCATGATATAACCCATGCTCTCGTACACTGATGCTGCTGCTGATGCATATCAGAGAGCTTGCCATCAAAGATGCTGGAAATAGGCAGAGGCCTGGATTCACTACTGATAGTGTCAGATTTAATAATATGACATGATTACTTTAAAGAACATCCTCTGAAATGACCTCATGCAGTATGTTAGTCATGGCGAATATTATTGTACAGCCAAGCCATGCACAACAATAAATGGGAGGATACAAATCAGGCATGCCAAAACTGCCAAATATTAGGTAATTTAAACTATAGAATTAGAGAGATCAATGTAGAACTGCAGCCTACAACTCATAAGACCTGAAGGTGAAGATAAATTCATTCTCCCCCATTCCTTACGGCCATAAAAACCATTAGAATGTCCATGAATATTAAATATAATCTTGCCTGTGGTTGGACATATGGTGTTTCTTTCGTCACAACAATGACCCTGCACTGAACAGTTGTAAACAATTAGCCATACTCATTACATAGCATTTTTAGTTTGGAGTCGCAGACTATCTTTATAGCAACTGGGACCTCTCCAAGTAGCAGTCCACACTCCATATTTAAGTCTGTTCGGGGACTTGAACCGGCGACCCTACAGCTCCCAGTCCAAGCCCCTATATACTGTATATGATGCATTTCCACTGCAGCGCGTAGCACGGTTTAAGCGTGCCGTGCTAAACCCGGCCCGTTTTTCTTTTTCTTTTCCGCTAGGGGTAGTTCCGGCTCAGGGCTACTTTTTCACCTTTTTTCTGGGCCTCCAAAATCGAGGTTCTTACCAGGCCAATAACCGGGCTGAACATGCTAAAATAGTGACGTAAACACTCGACTGCTGAATGGTCAGAGAGAATCGCTGGCAAGGGGGCTACAACTACAACAAAAGGAACATATTTTACCGTGATTTAATTGTAATACACGTTTCAAAATTATGCCGAAGTAACAACATACTGATACCAGTTAGTAAAAAACATGAATTAATGCTTTGACAAGTCTGCAGACAGATGGCAGGCGAAAAACCTTTTAAAATGCGTGTTTTCTGAATGGAGATTGGCTAAGCTAACGTTGTAAATGCTCCGACCGTCCACACTCACAACAACGGCCTATACAGACATAAATAAACCAACGATTGTATTCGCCATGACACAGACAGTCTGTGGTTTTTACTTGTTTAACTTTTGTCTTGTTTCTGAACAGATATGAGGAGCTGTGAGGGCTAACAGCTAACGGCTGGTTTTGTGGTCCGCATTGAAGATGACGTCACGGCTCCGCCTACACTGCGTTACTATAGTTACTGCCCCAGCTACTAAACTGTAAAAACGCAGCATAAAGTGAGCCTGGCCTACCAAGGCCTAACTATACTGTACTAAGCCGTGCGAGGCCCTGCAGTGGAAATGCGCCATAAGATTGGTATTGATTTGTCATCTCACTCTCAGTAAGAAAACAAATAAGCATTTTTCACAAAAATGTCTAACTATCCATTAATGGATAAGAGGTGTTATGCTACGCAACGTTCAGCAGGAGACCAAATAAGACAGCGATTTAAATGCATTCATTAATACATTGAGATTCTCATTAAGGACATATCCCAGCATGCATTGGTCAAAAGGCATGCAATAATATACTGTCCGTGTACTGTGAGGTAAATTGTACAAATATAAGAACACCACAACAGCATGCAAAGTCCACAAGAAAAAAAAAGTAAAATCTATTTAGAAAAGGATTTTGGACTTTACTCACTGTTTTATACTGAAGACGTCACATTATGTCCTTCATGATTAGCAACAAGCCTCTCACACGGCTTCACTGTGAACCATACGTCTGTATATAAAAAACTGTGTTTACCGGTGAAATGTTTACATAACAACAGTAACAAAAAACCCATTTAAAAGGGTTATAAATCTGACTAGATTCATAACTAGGCATTTTTTCCTCCGTAGACGACTGTTAGCAGCATTGAAGCTTTTGTCATGCGAAGCACTGAACCCTTTATCATGTGTATGAAGTAGATTAGGTTGTTGATATGATGTGTTCTCTTTCACTCAATAATGCTCTGGGGATTTGTTTTTTATATTTAAATGATTTTCAAGGCAGGAAGGGTTTGTATTGTGAATAAAATATGAAAGTGTCGATAGGGATCTTGTGCTTATAATAATAATAATAGATTTATTTTGAAAGCACTTTTAAAGGTGCTCAAAGTCGCTTCACAGAGATAGTGAAAAGAAAAGAACAGCAAATAAATATAGTTAAAGTCACATTAAAATAAAGCAATACAACAACAATCACACGTTTTTTGAAGGTGGTGAGGTCAGTGCAGTCACTGATGGGTTGAGTGTTGCTGTCAAGGGTGAAGTTGAAATTCTGGCTGGTTTTGGTCTGGGATGGGGGTTCGATGACGATGATGATGATGTCTGATTGGCACTGTTCAGTTGAAGATGGTTTGTTTGCATCCATGCTTTTATTTCTGAGAGACAGTTGGTGAGAGTGGAGTGTGTTGTGGGGGTGATGGTTTTTGTTGAGATATAAAGTTGGATGTCATCGGCGTAGCAGTGAAATTGAACTGCTTAGCGGAATGTGTCGCACAATTAGTGTTAACAGAGGCAGGGACATTTTTAATGTGCAGATGTAGAATGGTAGGTTTGTTTGGTCAAAAACGGCAATACAATCCGCTGTGAAAAATGATTCAGGCAACATTTGCTATTTGATGGTGTTTGTTTCCCTTTAATCATATTAACGTTTTAAAAACATATTTGATACACTTCACAAGAACATTTGTTTTAAGGAAAATGATTGGGTTATTATTGATAGCCATTTATCCTATGTAGATGTCTCTGTGTGCTAGTCCACCATTACAGAAGGCCTCTCTTGGAATGATTCTAGGAAAACAATTAATAGTTTTGCAAGATTATTAGTTAAGATGTTTTGTTGCCACTAAGCAAAGTTCTTCTATATTATTGGTCAGTAGATATAGGTTTAAAAAACAACAACAACAACAACAAGAGAGTGTATGTATTCTAACACCACCACAACGTGGCCTTGATGTTACATAAGGACTGAAAACCAAATCTGTGTATCAAAATGACAAAAAGGCTCCTGAATAAACTGAAATGCTCACAAAAAACTGTGTGAAAAATGAATTCATGACAATTGTAAGAAAATGTCAGAATGTGATTTAAGGCTGCACCGAATATCATTTTGTTTACATTCAAACCTATGTTGATAACAAATTGAATGCAATTGGAAATTATTAACTATATATTTTGTATTTATTTTAACTTGCTGAAACCAAATGAATAGACATGCAACAAATTATAACGTCAGGGTTAGGGACTATACAAACTATTTCTTATTACCCCAGTGATACACTAGTAAAATATATACATGATCTATGTTTTAATATGCTATGATATGATAACACATAATATCACTATCTCGTGGTTTTTACACATGTTTACACCATTTATATTTTGTGCCAATTATCTGTGTATGGAAAATCTACAAAACCAAATTTGAAATAGGCACAATAATTCAAAGCTGCAAATAGTAATTATCCAAAGGTGCAGTAGATAGATGTTACTATGGACACGATAACTCAATATGTTGTGTTTTTGTGGGTGCTGACATTTTGTTAAAAATCAACCAATAGCAGCCAAGCTCTGTGGCTTAATGAATACTGGACAGCAGGAATTAAACACTAATGAATATGGGTTTGTATTTCAATAAACAACTGTTGATGTTTTTTTGGTTTTACTTTCCCGAGCGTGTCTTCTTTGTTCTAAACTCTGGTTTGTCCACACCACCTGGTTGACGAAGGACGCGCTCTGCTCCTCAACCTCCGTCAGACGGATATCGCACTCTGTCAGGCTGCTGTTGTTGGACATGGCCTCCTCCAGAGCTTTCCCTCCATCCTGCACACACAGAGAGAGTCAGAGAGAACTAACAAACCAACACATTTGGCACTGATGCATGTCCATGTTAAACACATCACAGTCTTGTTAACCTTGAGAAATCCCCCCCCGCCCCCCCCGGGCAACTCTTGCGCTCTGAAATAGCCCACGCTTTCTAAACTGCTTATTGTGAGTGTCACCAATGTTTTATTGCTATGTCTGAAACAGGCGTTCTATTTCTGTGAACCAAGGTCACAGATATTGATGGTGGGGCACTTTGCATTTCTGCTATGCGTGTGATTTTTGGTCTTCCGCAGTGTATTCCAGTCACTTTATAAAGAGGTAGAGAGCATGAGAAGGGGAAAACCGTATCTACCTCTCACAGGGAAACACTCACTTACTTACTGACTGTAGCTTTCCATTATTTCATGTTTTCCACACATATCTATGAATAATTTATGGCACTGATTCTTTCAAGCTATTCTGTCTGTTTTCTCCAAGGCATGCTGTCTGTGCAGGCACCAGCATGCCTTAGGACGGAAATCCAGTATTTGAAGATAACCCAGTGTTCCATAAGATCTTACACAGAGAGCCACGCGCTGTGCTAGTTCTTAAAGAAACACAATTTAAAAGATAACATTTTGAACACATTTCTCCTTGCCCCCTCTTTTTGGAAAAACATTTATATATTGATTTCTAGATGTACGATTCCTTTCATTTAGTAATATGAAGGTTATTTGTTTCAATAAATTTTTCTTGGAAGGTTAAAAAAAAGTTGTGAAAAATTGAGAGTTGACATTAATAGTTTGACAAATACAATTAGTGCCAAATCTTAATTCTATATTCTAAGATTTTTTATTTTATGTCTATGTTATTTATTTTAACTTGTACATTTTTTCCCTCAATTTGAATATTTGTCCTTCTTTTTTGTGTAATTATTTTCGATACTGTTCCAATCAGAAAATACAATGTTGTTGAATTTGCACCATCTGTTTAT